CCATCAAAGACAATAAGAAGTTTTTGATAACACGTTAATCCTGCTACAGTGAAACGGTATTTCTACTATTTCTACGGTATTTCTTATGAAAATATTATCCTGTCTAAGACACACAAAAAAATTATGTCGGTCTTTTATCTAAATTGTAGACAATTTCGGGTGAAAAGTATACCCTGTTTAAGACAGCAAGGCCAAAAACCATACCCTGGCCGGCGGCACGTCCCCGTATAGTAAATATATGGGAGTGCCCCCCCGTGTATGCGATATCAGATAGACTTGGATATCATTAGGAAGAGAGGGGAGGGGTAAGGAGAAGGAATTAAGAGATGGGGTGTACTCCTTCCGCTTATGCACTCGGGATGTTACTCCTGTGATCGCAACTGGCAGACACAATGTAGCCGGTCTAAACAGGGTATCTATTTTGCGATCTATTTTGGTCATTCAGTGAAAGTCGTTGCCGATCTTTGTCGATGTTAATCAGAGGATCATAAATAAGGCAAAAATTTAGAATTGTTTTTTATCTTCTTTTTACTATATAGACGTTGATGAATGTAGTTCAGTATTTCATCGTTGCCATGCCAATGCGCAGTGTACTAACACCGCAGGCTCATATACTTGCAAGTGTAAGTCAGGCTAYACTGGCGATGGGTTTACATGTACGTGTCAAAACAGTGTACCAGTTGGTATGGAAACTAGAACAATTCCTGACTCCAGCATCACTGCMTCTTCTCAATGGGACTCTAACCGCTATCCAGGTAAAAAGATGGACAGGCCACGCGACAGAATGGATGGGTGATTATTTTTGTGAAGGGGCAGTAGAGGAATATTGAAAGTGGATGGAGTGGTCAGAGGGAAAGTAAAAAAAAATAGTTGAAAACAAATGGATAATGAAATATCAATTGTCTGTTTGAAGACTGTGTAGTGAATTGCTTAATTACAGTGTATGTGTCTTAGTGGTCAAGCTCGATTTTCTGCAAGTCTTAATGCAACCTCTTTGTTTAATGGCTAGGCAATGGACGACTCAACAGTGGATATTGCTGGGGTGCTAAATCCAAAACAGCTGGCCAGTGGATTCAAGTGGATCTCGGTAAAACCATGAAAATAACTGGCATTGCAACACAAGGTGAAAGTGGRCAACAGCATGTAAAAACCTACAAAATACAATACAGTACTTCCAGCATATCTGGGTCTTCCAGTTATGTTGACAATGGCAAGATATTCACAGGGAATACAGATGGAAATAACATTGTCAAGCGTACGTTTAYGTCTCCTGTTCATGCAAGGTTTGTCCGTGTTTTGCCACAAAGCTGGAATGGATGGATTGTGCTCAGACTTGAGTTCTACTATTCTYTTTGTTAAGAGAAAATTGAATTTGAAAACAATATAACCTTACCAAGATGGCATTTATCATATACTGACTGCAACTACCAGTGGGAATCCTTTTCCCATCATGTTTAAAAGGTGCTGATTGATAGCAGAGCTCTAAGCTTAAAAAATGTCACCATGCTAAAGTTACCTATTAGTGCACACACATCATGTAATAATATATTCAAATTCGGTTTGCAGTACATGAATAAATAATAGTAACTGAATGATGGTGAAGATGACGATGATAATGAATGATAAACAACACTGAGGTTGTAATAGACCTTTCTCCAAAATGGCTGCTGCTCATCAGCAAAACTGAAATAATAATGATAATAAAAAAATAAAAAAACCTGAAATTGAAAAGTAATGTGGAGATGAGAAAGGTTAATTGAAATCTATCTCTAGACGTTCAGTCATTTAGAAATTAATTCACATGGTATATGAAAAAGGGCACTTAAATTCATGTCCCATCGAAGTATCAGAATGTTTGATAAATTCTTATAAGTTCATCATCAAGGGGACAATATAGCATTCTAGTGCAAATACCCATCAATGTCCAAATCAAAACATTTTTTGACAATATTTGTACATTTGACAAAAAAAAAACAACATTGCACATAATTCATTTGGAAGACTGCTAGGTGATAATATCTTAATAAACGCTCTATCTATCAAATCATTATTATTAGTTAATATAGGGAGACAATTTTGCAATATAATTGACAGTTAAAACTACAGGTCTTATTCTTAATTAGGATGCTTAGTAGTTGGTTACTGAACAGATTTTAGTAGCAAAGCTTTGAACTGATCCAAATCTACTTTTTCAATAAGATTTATATTTTTCCTCTTCTGAAGAAAGTTTCTCCAATCAACTACCATCATCCCTCTTGTGACCTGCCCGCCAAGCTCAATAGTAGCATGCAATGCCTTCTGGGATGTCACAATGTGTGGGCAAACAGCTGTTGCAACTGCAAAAGGATCACAAGTCATCCACAGATTCCCATCTTCATGCTCTTCTATTTTTGTAGAAATTGACTTCAAAAACTGAGATTTGGCACTTGGAAAACTAGTATATTTGCTGAAGAAATCCCACTCAAAAGTATGCTCTAAACAAAACTCCCATGATGTAATAGTTATAGGGCATTCAAACTCTTCAAGGACTACATAAGCAGCTTCTGGGTCAGCACCAAAGTTAAACTCAGCTGAAATGAAGTGATTTCCAATGCCCTGCTTATTTCCCCCCATGACATCAATGCACTTGAGGTTCTTAGAGAAGCTATCATCCATACGCAGTGCCAAAGCTAAGTTTGTTAGGGGTGCTAAGGCTGCTATGGTGATTTCTCCAGGGTTTTGCTTGACAATATCAATAAGAGCTGTAACGGCATGGGTGGGCTGAAGTAGCTCTAAGTCAGGTTCTTTAGCATCTGTAGCATCCCCAAGACCATCTTCACCATGATACACAGGAAGTTCAAAATCTTGACCTAGTTTATTAAAAAACACATTGAGTTTATAATGACAAATACAGTTAACTTTCTCTGAACGACAACCCTCGTAAGTGAYCATCTCCTGTAAGCGACCACCTTTTTTTAAATTTCCTGTTTGGTTTCTCATAATATAAACTCTGTAAAAAAACTCTCTTGTAGGTGACCACTCTTGTAGGTGACCGCAACCACTTTTGGCATTGAAATTGTAGAATTTTTCCTRAGCAACCATCCATGACTGACACAAATTACATTTCCGATTATTTAAATAGAGTACAAACCATAAAAGCGTACTATTTAGTATCAAATACATTATAGTGTGAAACACCAACACAGCTCACACTAGTTTACCGTTAGTTCCCACMATTATAGTGTTAGTTATACCATAGAAAACAATAGAATTAGGAAATGGCCTTCTGTGTTGTTTGGGTTATCATTGTTTGGGTTTCCTGTGCCAACGTTCTTTTACGAGAGAGTTGACTGTAATCGAATGACATGTTTTATTCGTTCTCGTATTTCATGTGCGTGACTCACTGTTGATTTGCCGTATTCTCTACRTTTATGACTTGTTTTAGGTGGTTTTCCATAGTTTGTGAGTTGTTGTAGATGTTTTTGAGGTGGTTGTTGAATTTTCTGAGCTGGTTGTAGGTGGTTGTATTWGTRGTTATAGATWRKTTTWRGKKGKTKKWAWKKTTTTTCCTGGGGATTGGCACGTCAATAATATTACTATAGGTTTTTACATGTTCTTGAATGTCGTTTTTTTATAAAATAAACTCACCGAGAAGCGCGCGATCAGCACCTTTGTAGACAGGAATGTCGGTTCTTCCACAAACATCCAGAATCCTAAGAACATTTTTAGCCACTTGGTCAACACTGACATTACCAGCAACACACGTAATAGCGACAACTTCAACGTCTAAAGAAAGAGCCAACATTATGGCTTGAGCATCGTCTATTCCGGCATCACAATCGATGACTATTTTCCTTCGTTTCGAAGACATTTCTTCAGCTCTAGAAGCATGCAAGAACGGAAATAAAGAGACACGAATAAGGCAGGCGTTCCAAGCTGTGTCGGCAAAGGGAGTGGGTACTATTATGCTACACGTGATTCAAAATGGCGGCTGAAAATGCATGGTTTCTTGTTTCTACTAATATAAATGACTTTTTAGTCATTTAAAAAAACACTTTTGAGAGTTTTTCTGCAAGAATAATCTCTAAATGATCTTTATATAATTACTTATCGGGTAAGAGGGCGGCGTTTAGCACTTTTATGGCAATGTATGCTTCAYACTTGTTCATATCACGGCGTCTCGGTCTTGAAGCTGGAAAAATATTTCCCAAGATGGCACGGATAAGACCGATAAGACGAAATATCTCAGCTCAAGTAGAGGAAAGTGTTACCAAGAAAGAAAGCCCGAAATCCTGGAGAGAGAACCCTAACTTGAAATATTGGGTTGTTGGYGTTTGTGCAATAAGTGGGATTATATATCGGTATGTTTATAAAGAAAAGGATAAGAGAAAGGTGATTGTCAAGAACTTCCCTGCATTACCAAGTCACAAGCTTCAAAGTCGTGATTCAGACTTAAATGAATTGTACAAACTGTGCAAGAATGGTAGCTATGTCAAAACTGTACATGTTGAAGGACACAGTGGCAGTGGGAAAACACTCCTTGCTACTGCACTAGCAAAGAAGTTAGCCAAAGAAGAAGAAGAAAGATACCATWTTCTTCCCAAAAACCTGTTTGTTGGCACAATCAATGGTGCAAACCTTGATGCTTTGTTGTTTGACATTAAAAAGTTTGCTGTAGCGATAGGATGCCAATCCAAAGACTGGCTTCTTAGAATTGATGAAGGAACAAAGTTTGGCAACCTAAGCGACAGTGAGCAACTTCATATTATAACACAAGCTGTTAAGGAAAAACTTATTGAAAACCCAAACTGGATTCTTATCTTTGATGACTTGAGGGATTATGAGTTTCTTCAGAAGGTCTTTGGAGATGACTTGGACTCTTGGGGCAAWGGAACTGTTATTATCACAAGTACACTAAAGCTCAGAACAGACCTTAACAATAGCTACTGCTTAGATAAAGGGTGGGTATTTATATCAGGAATCTAAAGWTTTATGTACTAGCTATGAATATTTTGTGCCTCTAGAATAGGGCAATCTATAATTAAAATGAGTGACAATGGTAGTTGGACAAGTACTACAAAGGATTGTGGGACTAAAAGAGAAATGATAGGTGTGGTGGATGTTAATGTAATAAAGAATTAATAATGATCAAACTGCCAGAAAGTCATCAGAGATAAATAGGTTTTTTCATACAATGTTATGACGAAAAAAAGTTTTTTGATCACCTCAATGATACTTCTAGATGCACAAAAGGCAAGAGCTCTTACACAATGCAACTAGTGGATTGCATCACAACACATAATGAAAGTATTTACGTAAGAACATATAAAATCAATTGTTTACATGGATGCATATTATATTAATTCAGTTTTTTCTTCTTCCAGCATGGATAAGCAGGAGGCAGTTGATCTCCTAAAGCAACTTACAGAGCTACCTGAAGACAAACTGGAAGTCGAATCAGACCAGATCCTGGACAAATTAGCCTATTCGCCCCTTGCTATTGCATGTGCTGGAACATTCATAAAGTCAAGATTGGAAAAAAATMATGATTACTCTTTAAAGGACTTTACTGATGAATTCAGTGSTSGATTAGMGCAGCTCCTTAAAAGCAACCCCACCAASAACATGTCAGAAGCCATAAAGTCCTYGTATGTCATTTCTTCACTGCTGGTCAAAGAAACCCTTAACGTTTCACCTCATTTTCTTCACTCCTTTGATTTGATTGGGAGCTGCTCTCCAGTCTGGCCTATTCCTGTCAGCTTGATTTCATTGCATCTGAGATCAGCAGAGTATCATCTCCCACCCGTACCAAGGAGCTCTTCAGTGTTACCGGAYCATCCTGATCAAGGTGAAATCAAGCCAGTCAATCCAGAAGAAGAAGTTGAAGAAACAYTCTTTTCTATCAAGAGGCTTGCAAACAATCTGGAATCATTTACTAAAGCAGTGAAGGCTAACTATGATGCAATAAAAGAAATGTTCAATCCAACACCCTTAGATTTCTCACCACCCTCTGATGGAGTCCTGGAACTAATGCAGACTTGCCCTTTTGTTTCATCTGAAAAAGTTAACCCAGGAGGTAGGTGTTGCACCATGTATGCTCTACATCTACACARTCTGACACTATATATTTGCACATTCCAATAAAGACGATAAATAAAAATTAATAATTTCACAATAGCATCTTTTCTGAGTTATTTTGCTTTATTTTTTGCGATCATATTCTATCACGAATAGACCATGGTTCAGTATCCAATCAGAATACAAGATTTGTGATATATGTATGATATTCTATGTGGCCATAGTTTGATGGTTACTGATAAATAATATTTGATTGTTCCTTCTGTCTAGGAGTACAGACAATCAAAGTCAACTCTATCGTCCATGAAGTGATGTCACAGCTCTTTACTTCCACCACATGCCAGATCCTCGAAGACCAGCATCTCATTCAAGCAGAGGAMAAGCATAACAACAGTTCATGGTTTAGAAGGCTATGGGCTTTTGATCCTCAAAKATCTCTTCAGGAGTTCCGCAACAGTCTTGTAGAAAGAGATAGAAATGTMAACCCATCGCAAGGCTCACCAAATCAAGATGATCCTAAAGTAAACAGTGGGATTGATGTAAGCTGCTTGTTGAGAGATGACAGGGATTATACTGCTGTTTCAAGCTATCGACGTATTCAGTCACAGGTTGCCAGCGAGCACTATCAACGCCATATTGGTTTGGTACTTAAGACTATGAATGGTGTTTCATCTGTGTGCAGTCAGGACGTGCAGACAAGGACTTTAGCAAGGCTCATCATGCCACATCTACACCACACTTTAACTGCTAACACGTCCAAGAACTTGGAACCTAAGAGTCGCGCCCATGCGCTTTTGGCTGTATCATCTATAAACTCTGCACTTGGAAACCTCGAGGCTAGTATCCCATCCCTTGAGCAAGCACTTGCTATAGAAGAAGARCAGTTTGGAGTAATGAGTCTTGAGGTGGCTTCCACTTTAACACGCCTTGCAGAGGTATACAGCTCGCTTGACGACGCTMCCAAAGCACGAGTGTTATTAGAAAGAGCTTATGGCATCTATGAACAACAGAGAAAGAAAGCAGGCGAGTATAAAAAGCCCTTAGAGTTTGCTCGAACCATGGAAGCTTTAGGTGCTGTCTACGGTGCGCTTGGATTTAAACAACAAAGCAAAGATTACATTGAAAGGGCCTTGTCATACWTGCAATCCGCTGCACCAACAACTCCAGACGAGATTGAAGGACGACGATTCACTTGTGAAGTGGCCAGCACACTCGCTGATCTTGGACATGCGTATCTGTCTATCGGTGACGCATTCTCAGGCCGCAAGATGCTTGAGTTGGCTGTTACGGGKCTGAAGAACATGTACGGAGAAGAACACCCTGAAGTGGTTCGAGCTTTGACYATATTAGGAACTGCKTAYACCATGCAAGGAAATTGGCAAGAAGGGAAGAAGATGAGAAAAGAAGCAGGAAAACTGCAGGCAAAACTGGACACAGTTGTTGCTTTGTAAAGGTTGTATGGATTTTTTTGTGATACAAAACTACATGTACTGTTAGCAGAGCTTAGACATTTGAAGAGTTRCCTCTACTGATTTGATTTTCAGTTAGCGCTTTTTGATAATCGTTCCTCAGTTTGTGAAGTTATGTTATAGACTTGCCGTCAAAACAGAAATCTGTGAAACACTATCTATAGCGTCTACGGTATACATTACAGACTCAAAAGAAAAGAGAGTATTTACGCCTAGAAACTGTTTTGCAGTTTTTGTGTTCTTTTTATGCAATATTCAATCTATTGTTCGACTCTTTCGTTCTTGAAGTATGTATTTCTATGTTTCTATCTTCTGCTTATTCATTCTCGGTTTTTCCATTTCCAAGGTAACGCTAAAAGGCGTTTTCTATATACTCGTTTGTCATGAATCCGATTGTTGAKGTCGTTTGTACTTTTTTGATTAAATTTTTGATYGCAGAACCATTTGAAATCACAACTCATAATCTTTCTGTTTGCTTAAAGAAATTTCACTTACAGTGAAAACAAAGAAAATTTTAAATGTTTGWACGAAAGCTTTTGTCGGCCTCTTAAGCTGGAATAAATGGCTTTTTAAAATAGTGCTAATGAATCATTTCTGTCTTCTGGAAATTACRTGGAATAAACCTTATTACGTGGTGAATRCTGCGGRAAACTCGAACATTTATTCGATCATGCCAGGTGCAGATAAAGTCTATCCATGGACATCCTCCGCATAAATGTATACGAAAATCAAACCCGTTTAAAAGCTTGAGAAAATGTCTATCTTGTTTTYTGYTTTCTGCTTGATGTATTTAAATTAACTGATCAGTAAAAAAATCCAACTGACAAGCTCATTTTTAGCGTCTGCGGGGGCTATACACACAAACCTCTAGAAATTTGTCAGTTTTCAACGCTGGTTTASATAGCCGACATAATATCTGACACAGTGGAATATTTCAGAAAAGAGGAGTCCTTTCTAGTGCTTGCACTGTTATCAGTGCCTTGGGTTTTAGTCTCAGCTACTTAAAGTTTGTATCCGGCGCCATTTTGCGAAAAGGTATCTGAGTAAATAACTATGATTTCCTTAATTATTGAACATACTACACTCGTATAGTCCTGTGGAAAGTATGCTTGTTAACAATACTAGACATTTTGAAGGCGATAATTAGAAAAGAAAATGCAAAATGGCACTATTAGGTGAAATAACCAAGTTTATTTGTCATTAACTTGCTTGCTAGTTTACACCGGGAAAATGCTGTTTTGAAAACAAYAAGAATAATCAGTATCGTGCGTTGGAAATAGCATTTGATCGTTCTATCGATCGTTATAGGCTTAGACTATTGGAGAACACTCGACACGGCTACGTTGTGTCGTCGAGTTTTGCATATTCTGTATATCACTCACAGCTTAGACTGATATATGAACAAAACTATGTCGATTGGCAACAAAAGATATATAACAACCTTTCAGTTCCGTTGTAGTAAAAGCCTAAACGGGCGCGGTTGCGATAATTCGAGATTTTATAGACATTTCTGATACTATATACWTKTGCAARCTTAGTCTGATTACAGTTCAGTGATGTAGATAAGGCTCAGGGATTTCTCTCACTGCCCTTGCAAAGAGGTCTCAAGTGATTGAATTTTGAAAACATGAGCAAAGTGAACTAGCTTCCGAGAGGAATTTACAAAGTTTGGCGCCTTTTAGTGATCGCCAGAGGCATATTTTGGATCATTTACCCGGACGAGCGGACGATCAAACAAAGTCATTACATTCTATTTTAATTTCCGTAATTTCACTCTTTTACCATATTTTTAATTACCCAAAAACGTTTGATTTCATTGTTCAAATTCTTTCCTTTCACAAGAGCCGTGATTACTTAATCGAGCTTTAAAATGGTTTAGATATATCTATATTTACACATTTACTTCATCGTTTTCCATTTTCCATTCAGTACTTATCCATTCAGCTCACGCTATACACAGGTAAGCWTAAGATTGCTATAGTTAGTTTAAAAAAGTCAATGGCCGAAATTAYAGCAGTAATGATATTGTGGAATACGAAATATTTGAGAAAACAAGTTATGAAATACGAAATATTTACTAAGAAAGAGAATATGGAATTGTGAATAGTTGTTTTGTTAGAAGTAAAATAGAGAATGCTTGTGAAAATATTATTTGGGAATAGAGATACTTTCTCATTGACAACACCAGGCTGGAATAATGAAATAGTCATAATAAAATTCAGATTGAGCAGTTTCACTTTTATTCAAACGACTTATTTAATACAGATGATACTCGCTGTTTTTACTCAGTTTTTGTTTCTCTTTTTATTTCGTCCAAATTATGGTAAGGATACTCTAACCGCCACAACACTTCACATTTCAGTTTTTGCTATTTAAACAGGCACCTTTTATGAGCAAAATGAATGAATTTTTGAGATTTTTGAACAGTTCCAGTTGGTCTTTATATTTCAGGGGGTTTTAAACAGTGCAAAGATTAGAAAATTCAAGAGCACGGCTCAGTTGTATATGTCCTAGTACAGTCAGGAAAAACGATAAAGATAGAMTTTTCAAATGCCTGATTTTTGCGTTGTATTTCTGCGTTGTATCAGTTGTTTTTTCTATTTCGCGGATTTCTAAGTCCAATTTCATGGAGACTGCCATATTGTTGCTAATTAAGACTTTGTTAACACTGATTTTAGTATACATCGGTCGTTTTCAAAGTTCAGTCGGCTCGCGGCTAGCTATTTTCTAGGGTACTCGCTAAAAATAGTCCACATTAACAAGATCTACAACAAGATTCTTGTAAACATTCTTTTAATTTATCCCAACAACCTTCCACCATCTGGTAACAGGTCACAAACTATTACGTTATGTTACTAACAGTTTCAGTATTTCTTCGAAATACACGTTAACATGTTTTGGACTTTTGTTTTCTTTTTACGCTGGTACATATACCACAAACTATTCAATAYAGAGATAGATACATTTACAAAACTGTAATTATATATTCCCTTACAAGAAGCCKAATTCGGCAATTCATAGTCCGCTGCTAACGAATGATTTCTTTGAAATGCGAAATGAATCCATTTTTTACGAACGCTYAAAAACATAAATCACAGTGCTTRTTCTTTACTGATAAAAATCGCTTATGATTCTTAGAGACAAGTTGAAAAATATCACTTGTAAAAACCTCCTTTTGGTTATAGTGAAGGGGATTGTAGAATATAATCCTCCAACAGATGTGCCTACATCCCGCGCAAGAAATGAGTGGACATTAATATTTCTTGGAGATGGCATGATAAGTCTCAAGCATCTTTTTAATTACTTGGCCTCTGGGGAAATTCTAGTTAATTCAAAGAAGAGAAACAGTGTTAARATTATTATTAATTCAACAGTTTAAAAATGTATAAATTTAATATCGGCTTCATCGGTTCTGACTGTAAACTTTACCGAAAAAGAAATTCGTGCYTACGACTCTAGCATAAATATCGTTTTAATGATATTGTCTTCAAAGGAAATCCTCTTTTCTACTTAATAAAATTAACTTTAAGTTCACTTTCGCCATGCAAGGGCTTCTATCCTCCAGAGAGYAAGGCGCGCTGTATTGTGCTATTAAATAAAACGCAACAAATTAAAAGTTTTCACTAAATACATTGCCAAGTAACCTTTCACATCAATTCCGACTGAAAAGTCATTTTTAATAAAAGGAGATCAACTCTCCAAGGCTCAGTTCGCGGTTTGATTTAATTGAGGTTCGAGATGGCAAAGCGTTTATATTTACATTTCTTGTATATTGTAGGTAAGGACAGTTTCATACAGTTAACATGGAACTTGATTAATCTAATAAACATTTTTGACAGAATTTCAATTCTCTCTTGATTAAAAACCCAAACGAAATAGGCAAATGGTATTGTATTAATAAGATCGGGGYCCAATTAGCTGTCAGGGGAAACAATGCATCTCAGCAAAGATGTAATGACAGTTTTTATGAAGGGTAATCAAAAATTTTCATTTCGTGTTAAATCCTGTTTAAACAGGATTTAGAAAATTACATTCGTATCTAAGCGAATCCCATTGGATATTTTCCGAGAAATTATTCAGAACATGTTTTAAGGTTGAAAATTAAAGCAAGATTCTATTTGCAAAAGAGCGTTCAATAAGGTGYGCATATGTCTCTAGACCCCATGAAGAATGTCAAATTTGTGCGGAAATCAAATGGCACGAATGAAAAATTGAGATAATATTGACATAGTTCTGTTTGCCAAATCTACGTTAAAGTAGAGATATAGAATGGCGTAGTCGTCCAATCGATGATCGCAAAYCTGTCACTMWCATCACCTTTTTTTATACTGATTCGMCCAATGCCATATTGTCAAAGTGATGCTCAAAATCCATTGATTGCAGAGATAGACTTTTGCTGAGAATTCTGTACCTGATARCTACCTTTAGAGACAATTTAATTCTAAATGAGGATATCTTTTCCTGCTTTCAGCTCGGATCAGTGCTGTATTTAAATACGCAAATTGAGGAAAAGCTATTACAAGGTGTGAAAGCCACATCTCTGCTTCTGGAAAACGCCATCTGGAAGACCAAGAGTTCACAAGTGACTGACGTTTATCGAACTTGATTCAACCACAACAAGATCTGCGATAAATAGAATCTTTGAATGTGATATTATACTAAAGGAAAAAAATCTGCACCTGTCGCGTTCCATCAAGCCTTGCAGAAAAGAGAATCAACAACTTTACCAAGACAGACAGCTTGGAGCAAGTCAAGATGCACGAGATAAACTCAAGCGTCCACCTAAACTTGACTGGATTTATCATCTCAAACACGTCTTCTGATTACCAAAGGGAAACTCTTRAGCTCGTTGAGATTTACTTTAAGTTCGAGTTTTCCTCGCTGATAATTATAGCTTTTCTCGCTGCTGTGACCATCCCSACAAATATCTTGCTTCTGGTCATGGTTTAYATGGACCCGCTCAAGTGTTTCAACAAGCCGACAACTCCTTTCGTAGTTGGACTGGCAGTAGCTGATTTGTTGACTGGACTGACTGCTGAACCATTCTTTTCCGTGTACTATTACTTCCGATATTTCAACGCCGGYTATGTCAGCARGGATATCTCCAATCTCTACCGCGCTGGCCAGATCTTTACTACTGTTGCCATTAGTTCATCGTTTCTTATTGTTTTGGTTTTGTCGTGGTCTCAGTTTATCGCTGTAGCCTTTCCCCATCGATACTCTATCTTGGTAACCCGACGTCGGGCTACAATTTGTGTTATTGYCATTTGGCTGTACTTTATTRCTTTCTCGCTTCTACAGTTTACAAACATTGACATGATAAACTATCTCCGAGTCGATCTGATACTCCATCCAACTTTAATATCAATAGTCCTYTTGATAACCATAGTGTTTCTCTATCGGTCATTTCAGAAAGAAATACGAAGGAAAAAGACTCTTTTCAAACATAAAAGCCAAACAGAAAGTAAATCACAGCGAGGAAACAATGTTGAACGACAGTTTACCATTGTTACTATCTATCTTGCTGGCATCATCTTGGCATCAGCGCTGCCACATGTCGTAGTTCAGTATGTGTTTCTTGAGGTCTATCCATCGCTTTCCCCTCATGCCCAAATCTACGTATCAATGGCTATAAGAATACGYGACCTTCTTCTGTTTTTGAAGGTTGCATTAGATGCATTCATCTACGCATGGAGACTTAAAATCTACCGGGAAACCCTCCGCAAGACCCTGAGCTGCTGCTTTCDGCTGGACCGTCGGCTGGACCATAAAAACAATCATCAAACTGTAAATACTTCAACTGAGTTGGAAATGTTAAACGAATCATAAGCTAATGGAGACAGCAAGACTGAAAAATGTATCTCATGAATAAGGGTAATCATCGAGACATAAAAAACTATGGGATCTATAAGTATATAGTACAGTATTAATAAAAGCAGCTATCCTGCAGTGCTATTTTATCATGAAGTGTTTCAAAAACGAGACGTGCGCTTGAAATTCAGTGAACTCACGAGCACTACGATTTTGGTACTATGTCGTCTTATACTAATAATTAGTGTGTAACTGATGGGAAATTTCATAGTTTGCTCGAATACTTATCAACAACTCCGTCATGTCAATGATATTTCTTTATTTTTCATCCTCATTAATTATACATAAGTTTCAAAACTTGTTTTTAAGAAATTGGAACCTTTGATAGAAAATTATCRACGAAATTCCAATTCAATTCTACATGTCTTTTTCTGTCTATTTTTAAGTGTCTTTTTTTCTGTTGTCAGATTACGGTCAACCAGTTTTCATTAAACTATCGGGTTTCGAGGGTTAGAAGTATGTTTTCATTATTGTTTGTCTATYTAATTCAACCCTCTGGTAAAATACAGAAGGAAAGTAGAACGATAAGAAAAATAATTATGTATTCGGCTACAACATCTAATGGTAATTACCGATCACGGTTGTCAAAACTAAACCTTAATCTGATTTAGGACAAAGCAAATGAGACAAAATTGAGTTTGGTATAGAACACCTGATCACTAAATGGATGAAAATGAAAAAAAATAAATAAATACATGAATAGAAAAATGAATAAAATTAAATGATTGAACGAAGTGATGAATGAGTAAACGTTGAAATACAGCGAATAAATGCCCGGCGGCCGCGGATTAAAGATAAAAAAATTAGGCAAAACAACAACAACAAAAAAGAAAAAAATAACGAAAACAAAGCAACAAAAATTCGTTAGTCATCTTTAAAACTATACGTTTTCTTAGCTAAAGACACTATTAAGAAATAAGGGATATAACTATTTGAAAATACATTATGGACCACCTGAAAGTTTCCATGACGTGTTGATATTCATAGCATCAAAAGCAGTCAATACTGCCGTTCCACTGAATGAAGATTTTTTTTTTCAAATGAGTGAATATCATCCATCGATATTGAATATCCATAGTTACTTCAGCATTCGTGATACAGCAACCCTTTCCAATGGATTTCAATTAACTAATAGCTGGCAATTATCGCTCTTTTCCGTGTATTAAGCAAAAGACATTGATTTGGTTAATATATTTATTGAACATTCTAGTCTATCTTCCTCAGAAATGMAAATTAAGGTGTGGATTTCTCGTGAAGATGACAGTAGTTGGACAGAACGCTTAATAAACTATTTTWAAAAGGCCACATCATCGTACAACATGACGTTTTGAAGTTCTTATTAGCGTTCAYTTTGGGCTTGTTGCGGCAATTTAAGTTGGGAACCGAAGGTATATTATAATGGCGGCTATAAATACAGACTRCGTGGCAACGCTGACACGATTCCTCGAAGATTAGCTGCTTAGCTAGAAATATATTTTAGAAATATTAGATGACTCTGCCCGTTTTATACATGCTAAGTTTCATCCTCCAAGCCCAGCATCCAGTCTGCGTGATATTTTACTATAGTCAGCCAACGTTTGAAAATACAAAAGATAGTATATAGGTGATACCTAGCTGGTTTTGACAGCAAATTAGCTAGGGATTTCCAAGATTACTATTTATGATATAATTTATCTATGAAAACCATGCCATAATRATTCTCTCTTTCAGAAAGTTCTTATCGGAGTGAAAATAACACATTCGAGGTTTCGCTATATATTGGACTAGCCAAAAAAGGTTACGGCATAATTTGCTTTCGTATATAATTATATGATAAACAGAATATTTCATGGTCGCTCGGAGATAGGAACTCTATGTTCTCGTGTTGAAAATCTCTCTTGTTCACTACGCTCACTCGTGAGAGATCATCTTTTTCAACACGCGCGACCATATTATATCCTCTATTTATGTTGTTATTTGCGAATTTTTCAYAGACGTTTTAAAGTTTTTAGTGCAGACTAGACTTGACAATAATTTTTCATAATGTTTATGTATTATATTTGCGAAGACATTATCATACGATCATGAATATGACGAATATATGCTGCTTGTTAATTTTTTTTAATGAAGATCGAGACCAACTGGGGTCCAACTGGACATTAAGATTCAGTACTTTATTTTGAAGAGTTTTATGCAAATAATAAGGAACGCAATCACATTGTCACATGAAGAACTAACTAGTCATTGATGGTCATTAAAAATACATCAAATTGACTGCTAACGAGTTTTTACTTAGAGAGCTCCTAGGACAGCCAGGCTACATATGCTGCTGATCTCAGTGATGCAAGGACATGTTAGCATAACAAAAGAACAAAGTGAAACAAAAGAAAAAAAAGAAAGCAAGAAACATGAACACGGAAGGGACCGATTTAAAGAAATTGAAGGAAAACAGACTTTCAAGGAAAAGAAAAGGAGTCTCATAATTCAGAGAGAGAAATTCCAAAGAC